TTTGCGCATCAAATTTAGGACATGTAAGGCTTCTTTCTTAAACGGTTTTTACAGAGGAAATGTGTGACACAATGGGAAAATAACTTGGGATTAACTGTTTGCTAATTGAGTACTTTGAATTTTTTTGCCAAATAAATGACACTGTAGAACAAGGTTTTCAAGCTTTTCCAGGAAAGAGTGCTGCAGAACAAGCCACAGGGCAGGAAAACCTCATGTACTTCTGTGTAAGAAGAACCAAGACTGGCGTAGTGCACATGCAATGTATCTTGGACAGAAAATGTCCACCAGGTATTTTTGCAGTGTTCCTCTATGTGAAAGCTGAACACGGCTAACGGAGCAGTGCAGTTTTATTCTGGGATAAATTACTGTTGTTTGCTATGCAAATCTTATGATTGTAATTAGGCTAGGATTTGGACTGCTGTGTACACTGATCTTTGTTCCCTCTGCGCACGGGAGCTAATTCTAATGCTGCAAACCAGCACAGCAAATATCAAGCGCTGCTCAGCCGATGATCGTTTCTCGCGGGGCATCATTGCTTGAAGTGGGCGTTTTAAAAGCAGTGATTTACCTCTGCCTTCAGGGCATGTAAATCGTACCGCAGGCGTCTTGTGGGCCACTGAATTGTTCAGGTACCGTAAAGTCTTGCTTGAAAGGAGAGGTTGGAGAAAATGCAGGAAGGACTGCCTGATAGGCATCTAGTTTTCAGCAAACTGGTTTTAAAAAGTGGTGTTCTGCTGCTGGTTGGGTAAGGAGCTGGTGGTATGTTCGAGCTATCACGACAGTGATTGCAGTTCCTAGTATGGCTATGTATAGCTCCTGTTATCTCTGCAGCCGGACTTTGTGTAACTGCAGCCTGTGGCTGCTTGCCCACGCTAATGAGCTCTCCCCGAGGTCGGGCCCCTGCCTGGGGGGGTGGCACGGCACTACGAAGCTGCCGCTGTTTTGAAAAACCTGAGTCCGAGCCGCCGTGCCCGCTTGGCTACTGCTGGCCACGGGAGCTTGCCCCCGTGCAGCGTGGCCAGCCCCAGAGCCGTCTGGAGGACGAGGCCAGCTGGCCACCGAGGCTGCCGGGCTGTAGCCTGCGGCAAAGGAGAGCTGTCACCTAGACCTAGACCTGGACCGGGGGGAAGCGCCAGCATGGTGAGGACGGTGCAGGTGAGCCACACTCCCGGCCCATTCTCCTCCCCGGGAACACGGCTGCCAGGGTTTCGGCCAGCCCGTGTGGTGGGAGCGCATCCTGCAGGCAGTGGGTGTCATTTTTCCAGTGACCCCAGGGGCAGGGGTGGGGGGGCCACGGCTGGGAACCGTGCCTCCCCGTGGCGGGGCTGAAGTGGGAGCAGACGCGTTCAGGTGCGGGCGTACCAGGCTGGGGGCGTGCAGGAGACACAGACACAGCCAGCTCTTACTTACCCCTTCCAGCGGCAGTTAGCCGGGCGTGAGCACCCCGTCCCGGGGGTAAGGGGGGGGCTGCACACACTGCAGCCTGCTCAGAGCCTGCACCTGCACCCGTGCCGGGCTCTTCTGCACGCGTGCCTCCCCACTGCTGCTGTGGAGTTCCGCAAAATAAAAATCTTACAGCTCTGCAATCTATTAGCTTGTGTAGCTTTGTCTACAGACAGATAAAAAAAAAAAAAAAAAGGCATTATTTGGAACTGCGAAGGCTTAGAACAAAGAAGTACCCTCTAGGGGACAATATAGCACTACTGCTCTAAAGATACAGTAAATGACACAACCTGTTTTTTAACAGCTCGTAACTCCTGTGAATCTCGTTTATTTCTTTTTGTTGCCTATGTACTTAAATCACACCAAAGCAAAAGAACAGAGGCAGTTTTACTTTTTCTTGCATGCTTGCACATTATCAAGTATTCCTGTAAACATTGTCTCAAATCAATTAATTCTGTTTGTGTAAATACAATTTAAGGGAGCAGGGAAGCTGTAAAAGCATCAAGGGAGGTACTAAAGTGCCTAACAAAAAGCAGAAGAAACCTTCACAGAAAGTGATTTTTCTAACCAAGTGTAGGTATTTCATTCCTACTGCTAGTACCCTGAAATGTGTGTTGTTTCCATAGCTGGATGCTCCATATTTCACAACAAGTTAGAGTGTGTTCTGAGGCTGTTGTTGAAAAAATAACATTTCACTTCAGCAGCCAAGTTACAAGGGGGCATAAAATCTGTGTGAGTTTTGCAAAATGGTGCCATGCTGCAGCTATGATAATGTATACATTACTTTGCTGAAGGCATCTGTAATTTAACACTGAAATACAAAGGCTCATGACTTGGTCTGTCATTATCTGTGAGGAAAAACATGAACTTGACAGTTTTACACTTTTCATGTGGGGAGAAATGACAAAGGCCTCTGTTCCCCAGGGTAGTCCCTAAAGTTACTATGTTTACTGTGGTCCAATCCTGTGCTTCTGGTAGACCTGGCAATTTTTACTGTGCAATAATTCTGAGTGAGGATACTAACATGCTGGCATGGGGTCAGAAACGCGCAGTAGTGAACGTAATTCCAAAATGCCTGTTAAATAACTAAGTCATCTAGTTATCTTCATATCCCACATAATGAAACATTGAAAATCCTAGAACAAGCTCTGGATATTTCAAGGTGCCGTGCAGCAATGCCAGGTTGGAATCCCAAGCCATACTAGCAAGGTGCTTAAAACCCACTCCCAGCTCTGCAACTGATTTCATTCAGTGCTAGCTGAGAGCTTTGTCACGCCAGCGAGGCGGACAGACATGGGGAGCCGTCTCTGGGGCCCCGAACCTTGGTGGCATGCTCGGCACTCCTTCCGATGCAAAGCGGTCCCTGTTTTTGGAGGAGTGCCTCCCCAGCACCCACACCACACGAATTGTTTCAGACCTTACATCTTGGATCTGGAGGACCAAGGGGAGTTAGCTAATGGGGCACTAGCATCGAATTTGGAGGCCGATTCAAGGGAGACCCTTTTTCCCTGCTTGACCTTTCCCGCCTTCCATGAACTGCCCACCCTGGGGCCTCTGTGGTGGGCACTGCCCCGGGGTGGCTGGAAGGTTTGCTCAAGAGCTTGGTAGTGATGAATCACAGAGGTATGGCATGGATTGATAAGGTCGTGTACTTTATGATTAGATACATCCTCCCTCTAACAGCGGTTCTTTGTCTCCATTTTGCTTTTGGTAATGTTTTTTTGGCAGTTTGCATACAACGACTCTCCAAGCAGGAGCTGTTTGACTTGAGACAAAGTCGCTATTATTCTAGGTAAGCTCAGGAAGTCCTCATAGTTTTCTTGCCCTCAGAAGACATAGATTGTTGGGAATTTATTTAAAAGCCAATTAAGTTAAATCACCAAGAAAATATTTCTTTTCTTGCAGCCTAGCTGTAAAGGACTTTCGGTTAAATAAAACAGTGTGTAACAAGAAAATTCTGCCTTGCAGATGTATTATTTATTTTTTGTGCATTTTAAGTGATGACTGTAGAGTGGCATGTTCTTTATCTGTAGCACTGGCAAAAAAAAGCATGTATTTCAGCTGTGCATAGTACCGATGTGCAGTCTGGGAGCCGTGACAAAAGAAAACTATTACGTGGTCTGACAATTGTTGAAAAATGGACTACTGCAGTTCCCACAGCCTGATGAACATGCAACTCTACTTCCTCACTTAGAGCTGATGGAGAGCCCAAAGAACTCAGTAGGAACACTTCAGGTTTATTTGGGGAGATTTTGGACTAGACTCTTGAGGTGTGTAATTTAGTCAAGTGCCTACTTCTCTTTACAAATGGAAACCTTTTCGAGCTACTGTGAATATGGCAATTATGGTGCTACTGTCCCTTTTCAAAGACCACCTCTGCTGTCTCTCCAGGGGGTATCCCCTGAGCCCTTACACTTCTCCTGACCTCTCTTTGGCCATGAGCCCCTGTCTGTGGTGAAGCCTCACCTCTCCAGCCAGTCTCTGCTGCAGCATCCCGTGCCTCCCTTGGACTCTCTTTGCTCCGGCTCCTCTCCTCTGCTCCTTATTGTCACTTACTCAAGAGGCTTACTCAGCAGAGTTTTCAGAAGTCAAATAAAATGAAGTAATTATGGATGACCGGTGTCAGCTTTTCCTTTTAACTCAGTCTTAAAGCGTTGTTGGCTCACTGGTTTGGTTTCTGCTGTCTATAAAAAGGTTTTGTGCAAAAAAGTCCCCGTTTTCCCATCGCCCTGTGTGACACCAGTGCCGGGATGACCTTCTGCTGGAGAGTCTTGTTGCTCAGTTGTGTCGCTGCTCCATATAAGTTTCCCTGGCAACCAGTTTGAGCAACACTGAACCTAAAATATCTCATTGTGCTGGGGGAAAGTCAGTGTGCAGACATGTATTTCTCATTAATGACTTCTCTGCATGGTTTGTGTGTTCAGCCTGCAGATGTCATTCTTGTGAACCGATGACTGGGAGATACAGTGTGCCTCTTTGGCTTACTTCCACAGGCAGCACGGTCTACAAGCAGGCTGCCCTTGTGTGATCATCAACTGAGCTGTGACTGTAAGACCCATCATACTCATTTTTCATGGTACACCAAGGGTCTCATCTTCTACTGAGAATGGTCTGTGCAGGCTCACGAAGTCACAGTGATCTTTCTTGGACTCCTTGGATCTCTGCAAATTACCTTTGTTACTAGCACTTTGTCCTTCTCATTTCTAAATAAGTATATGCACCTTGATTTATAGGTGTGCATGCTGTGAGCTCCAGTTTTGCAGCCATCCTAAAGGTACAGTTCGCGACAGTTCCAAATGAATATGTGTGTAAAACTTTGGAGGTCAGGACCCACCAATTTGCACAGGAGAGAATGCACAAACTGGAGGTGTTATTTCAAAACTTCCTAGTTCAGTTTTGGCTTGCAGATAATCTTTTTGCTATCTAACGTAGAACAATGGTGTGAAGAAAAGCGTTGGTAATTCAAGACGTGTTCTCAAGGTGGCAAAATTAGAAGGGACTAAATTGGAGAGCACTATGTCATTTTTAGTAACAGGTTCCCTTTTCTGGATTTGTAGGGTGTGAAGATTGTGGCAAAAGCCTTATAGGAGAATGCAAACTCCACGGACCACTCATCAGGGCTAAAGATAGGGTTATTCCTAGCCGAGCCCGTCTCACCCTACCTCATTACCTCACTTTGCGAGTGTTGGAGCTGCGAGCTGGAAACCAGCAGAGTAAGTATTTTAGCTCTTTCCCCCATTTGAGAAAGCAGGGGCAAAAGTACTGACACTGGCTTGTTTTCATCAATAACTCAAGGTGTAATCATTGGGTATTAACAGTATGGAAACTGCTTTATTTTCAGCTGGGCACAGCTAAAGCTCACATTGAGCTACTGTTTTTTATGACTGATTTCTAGTAGCTTTGATGCATAGACTGAAGACAGGACCTTAGCCAGAGCTGGTGTGACATTTAGCTGTGAGCAATCAGTTAGCTCTGTTCAGTCAGTACAGGTTTAATGAATGTTGAATTTGTATCTAATAGTAACAGCCGTGCACTATCACCTATTCTTTTATTTTCCCCAAGCATGCAAAACAGGAAAGAGTGTTCAATAAGAGGTCAGAAGCAAAATGGTAAATAACATCCCTCTGCAAACTCAAAGAACACAGGGGGTTAATTTACCTTTTGCAGCATCTTCAGGTCATATTATAGAAAGACCGTTGTTTCCTTCTGAGGGCAGGGCAATTTGAATGCCCAAACTCAAACAAGGGAACAACAACAAGTGTCACACCATTGGTAGTAGGCAGGGGAGTAACTAGAATGATTAAAACCGGCTAATGTTGTGTTTTTACAGATTGTCTCCACTCACATTGGGAGAGAACAAGCTTGTAAATTATGCCAACAAGCAGAACACTGTGTTAACATCAGCTTGTAGAGTGAAGAGTATCAATACATTTGCGTTGCTTGCTCTGTTTAATATCCTGTTGTGAGTTTTAGGCACTTTTGTATCTAATGTAATACCCATTTTAAAAAAAATCTCTGTACATATTTACATTCTTTTTAGATTCTTCTAGTTAGAATTATTTACCTGAGTTATTGGTCTAGAAGAATAATTAATGTGCTCTGCACTACTGTGTTTATCTCCAGTTTCACAACTGTAAGTATACAAGAAATAGCTTGTCATGTCTATATTAATATTAGACTGGTCTTTTTTTATTCACAGTCCTTGGAGTATTTGCAAAGAAAGTAATACAGAAGAGAACACAATTTGGTCCTTATGTTGGTCAACTGTCTACAAAACTGACCTGCTATGATGAGAGCAGGCTAGTCCTGCAGGTAAAAACCCAGTGACTTATGATGAAGTGCATGTGTGTCTTTAACAGTTCATATGTATTTGTGTATTTTAACCAGCCAGTTTTCCATCTGATCTAGTTAATTAATTGTAATTCTGATTTGTATGTATGAATGTAAATCAGATTATTAGACAGCACAGCATAACCTGAAGTACCAAAACGTTCCTATATATTGTGCTTTCTAGAAGTTTGCTTTCCTGCTTTCTAGTTTTACCACTTCTGGGATCATTTACCTGTCAGATAGGTCTTGATACACTTTTCACAGAGCACAGCTACTGAAAGTATCCAAGGATAATGCTGTCTTTCCGGATAAAACAAAAGGATTTGTGCTTAACAGCGCGCCCCTGGGAGGATTAAGTTTGTGCACTGAGTTAGCAGTAGTGGCAGAAGTATGCACTAAGGCACCTATTTAGTAGGGAAGAGCAGTGCAGGGATGGGGAAACACTTCTTAATGATGTGATTACACGTAAACTTTGACACACAGTGCACCAACTCAGTTTATTTAGTCAGATCATTACTTAGGGCTGGTACCATCCGTTGCTGCAAGCGCAGATACTGAGTGTCTCATTTGGACCATGCTGCTATTGTTTGTACTTCATCCAGCACACGTAGTGGCCTCTCAGGACTAGCCTAGCTTAGACATATCTACATGCACATCCTTTCCCACAGGAATTCCTTGGGAGTGATAGTTGATCATAATCTTCTACACCCTGCTCTTTGCATTTTGATGCACGGGGTCATGCCTGGGCGCACCTCTCTGTCATACAGCCAGTCCGTGGTCAAGCCACAGCATCCGTTGGGACTTCCTGACAGGTCATGGGTCTTCTAGAGCCTGCAGCTCCTATCAGGCCCTCTCACTCCCCAGGAGGGAGGGACAAGCAGCAGCTGTTCTGTGACACGCTTTATGGCTTCATTTGAGCTTTCTCCAGAAGCTTGGGACTGGAAAACACTGTGTTGTGGAGGAAGGCATAGATACAGATAATTCTGTAATTTCATTTAAGAGCCAAATAGCTTCCATAATTGCTGTAAACTTCATTTGCTCATGGAAGTCATGTGAATGGTTTGCCAGGAAAGTAACACTGTCCTTCTGTAGGATTTTCTTGACACCAGAGAAAATTTGTGCTTCTCCATAACTAAATTTCTTCCATCTTTTTATGAGACACTTGAATTCTTACAAAGGCAGAAAACTGAATTCTCTAACAAGCTTGTGAGCATGGATGAGCTAAGCACCCAGTTCCTTCCTCTTCATCAAGCCATTGTAAACCACACCCTATCCTCTATCAGCCAGACAGCCCCGTCTGCTTAAAAGTATACAGTATTAAGCACAGCTCTGTCTGATGAATGGACTCTTTCTTCAGAAGAGAAGACTAGAGTCCCAGGTTTCCTACATGACAGCAGTAGCTGCCTCAACTTCTCCCTGGCAGCATTCTGAGTATGTGACCAAAGTTGTCCAACAGACAAGTGTTTTCATCGGAAGCATGACCAAGTTAGATAAAATTCTTCCCAGAAGCAATGGAAATGCAATTTTTTTTTTGGCAATTAATTGCCCAATTATGCAGTTAGTAGAACAGATACATGTTATGCTGACACCTGTTGGAGACTATATTGCAGAAAAGCAACCGTGTTGTATGAGGTCAGGAGCGTGTGTCTCCCATTCTCTTGGAAGGGAATCGAGGAAGAATGAAGTAAAGCAAAAAGAAAATATCTTTCTGGCACAATTTTTCATTTGTATTTACTTTTGAATTGGTGAGGGGAAAAAGAGAAGACTATTAAAATGTCGTTACATTGTTTGTTACCTCTCTGGACTTATTATACAAGTTACACAATTGTTCCATGCAACATGTAGTGGTAATACAGCACTGAGGTTTAAGATTATCAAGTACTCAGGAAGTACATTAAGGCATAAAGCTTATCTTTCTACCTGCCTGCACTTAGTTCTTATAATATTATCTTTATATAACCTAAAAATGATGAAATATAAACTGGAAATACATACAAAGGCCTACAGTTATTTTAGTAGCTGGGTGCATGGCACGTATTGGTTCTTCACTTTCTTTTGCACTTGGTATTCTGTAAGAGTGATCTATTTCAAAACAACCACGATTTCAAAGGACATACGACCAAGACAGGGTAAATAACTGATAGCCATGATTCCAAGTTAAAGAAAACTAATGTGCCTCTATATAGGACTTGGTTTTATCATGTTCTTTCTCATGTCCTCTCCCTTTGTTTCAGGTATTGAAAGATGGAGGGAAGTACTTTCTGGACACTCCCAATGAAGACTGTGGAAACTGGATGATGTTTGTCCGACTAGCCCGGAACCAAGAAGAGCAGACCCTTGTGGCTCACCAGCACTGTGGAGAAGTCTACTTCACAACTGTTAAGGTAGTTAAACCCACATTGCTTCACCCATCATCCCAATGGAAATGTATAGGCAAAGGTTCTGAAAGGCTAACCCTTTCACCGATGAAAGATTGATTATATTCTGCCGACTGAATCTTTATTACATACCACCTTTTCTACCGCTTAATCCGCAGTAAAGCAAGCAGTGGGGTTTTCCAGTAAAAGGTGGTGTGTACTTGCTGTTGTGGGTAGTGAAGAAACTGAGCAGAGGGAAACAGAAATGTCATTCATGTTGTCAGTGTTTAAACATGAATGTTGTAAAGTTTTTCAGTTCCAGATAGGTACATGGTGAGATTATCTAGCATTTTTACATTCAGCAGTACTTCATCCTGGAAAGAACAAATATATTCCTTTCCTTTATTACATTTCTGGACACATGTTGTATTCTGAGCACATTACCAGGTGGTCAGGAACAGGGCGCTAGGTAGAATCTTTACCTACTATTTTCCACTCTCCTTAAATCTGAAGATTTAACTTCAGAATTTACAATACGGCAATGTTGCAATGAAATGATCAGTTTATGTTAGAGATTGTGGATTGTGTCTTCATCTGAGGAAAGAGAACAAAACATTCTCTATTTATAAATAACACTGCAACATACAGACTTGGTTTTTGTTATTTTGGTCACTTTCTCAAGCAAAGTTTGTTTTATTCAGAACTTGCTCTTTTGTACACTTAGGAAACCAAAGTCTGTATGTTGACTATTCGCTGTTTTCCTTTTCTGTTGTTAAATTAATGCTTGTATATCATTGTGAGTATCATTAAAAATAATTTTAAAAGAGAGAATATTAGTCAAAAGAAGTTGCTGTGGGATTAAAATCCAGCATTTCAGTTTCATTTCCAAGATTGGCATGCATTTCTGTAGGATAGGAGTGTTTACTTTTGTTCCCCCATTTTTGTTTCTCTACCTACACAGTGAGAAAAATATTTACCACTCAGTGATGATGTGAGAATGAGTTAATAGTGATAACATTTTACACTTTCAAAGTATTTTATAACAGTATGAAGTATAGTTGCTTTTGGATTAATATTAAAATAATATTTTTTTTAAAAAAGAAAATCAATGTAAAACAGTATATGCTGATCTGAGACATTGTTTAGTCTATGTTTGAGATTTTGATGCAGTCTATACTATTTGAGATTTCAATTTGATTTTAAATCCATGCTGTACTTGTAGAAATGATAGGATTAACAATACTATATTTGGGGAGCATGAACAAATGCTTTTCTGAGAAGTTGTTGTTATGGGCTGGTAACTTACAATTTCCAGTATAATTTAAATACTATTGAATCAGCTCTCTGCTGACTTCAGCAGAACTCTGCTCATTGGCATCAGTGGAAAGTTGCATCCTATATACTGACATGATGAGTATCTTATACTGGCATGAAGAGTATATACTGGCATGATGAATATTCTTATTTCAGGATGAGGAATGTGTCCTGGAACCTTTACTGTGCTGTGTATCATAGGGAATTACTTTGGTTTTATTTATCCTAAGTCCCAGTATCATCCATGGTATTGTGGTATCCTGCAGATTTTGTCCTCGTCAGCAAAGTGATAGCCTTTTGCTACACTCAGGCACACCCTGCTGGTCATGGCATGAGGCTGCCGTAGAGCTGGTTATGAAGATAATTTCTCAAGATATTTCGAATAAAATCTGTTAAGTTGGGAGGATTGGCTCCTCTCCCCACTGTTTTAACAAAGAGATGGGATTTTGGTGACATGAAATTGCAGCTACAAAAGCATACATGTAAGTGGCATACTAACAGCACTGTTAGCATACTTGCTGACCTAATGACTGCAGTCCCTAGAAATAATTGCTTTAAAAAATATAGAATTGTGAAGAAGTAAAAATCAATCACAGTTGCTCTCTGTCTGATCATGGTAGTTTCACTTGGATGCTGCTGTAGCTTTTTCTTGTTGTCACAGGTGAGACAGAGTAAATGACAACTTGTAGTGGATTTGGATACTGGTGTTTAATCTCAGATGTACTGAGATTAGTGCTTTAACCCTACTTGACTATTTCACACACTGATGCACTTGCTCTCCCTCCAAAGTCACACAGACTAGGTCTCCGCTTCCCACAGAGGAGATTGCCACTGGTCCAGGAGCGTTGGCCAGAAAGTCATCCCAGCATCATGCTGGGAAGCTGTTTGTGGGTACCAGTCTTGGGTGTCACTGGCCAAGGTCTCAGGGAATCCTCAGGCATTTGCCTCTGTGGAGCTCCCCCAGGTTTGGTTTTCTCCATCTAAATAGACTACATGCAGGTGCACAATGCGTGATCAGCCTCCTAGTTGGTGACTTTGCCTCATGTCCTTTATCAAGTGGAGAATTCATACACTATTATTCATATACTATATTCATATACTATTTCTGCTTAGGCCAGGTATTATCAAAACATACAACTGGCCCATACTGGTTGCAGTTAGCAAGCAGGCTTGTGCTTGGGAGTTCAGAAGTTCAGTTTTCAACATTACACAAATTAACTGTCACCTGTCAGCATTCACAATCTAAGTTGTCTTTCACCTGTCACGTTATCCAACACCGATGTTACAAAATAAGTGCATTTTAAGATGTCACATTTTGTGGAATAAGACTCAGCTGCTCTCCTTCTAGGTTAGTTTGTTCTTTTCAGTGGCACAAGTTTAGCTTAGTTAAAATAAAACTACAAGTACAGTGCAGATTGGCTCTACCTCTGTTGCAACAATGTTGGTTTTTATTATAGATGAAGAAAATTGTGTACGGGGCCAGGGAATCATAAAAGTCACAACCCCAAGTTAGTGTGCTCCTTTGCTTTTAAATAACTAAAAGATCTTTAGCCAGTGAGTGTAATCACTGCTCTCTTTTTCTATTTGCTGTATTATTGACTGAAAGTATTTGTCAGAGGAGGTCATAGTCCAGTCCAAGGAAAGATTTGGTCAGGCATGACTGGATGGGAGACTGGATTGTGTGCTCCCTTAGGAAGGCTTCAGTCAAAGGAGGGCAGGGGTACGTGCATAGTGAGCCTGACACATTAGAACCAGCAAATTTGACTTGCGGTACACACATTGGTCAACTCTGCGCCCGTGCTCAGTGAGACTTACCCAGGAGGCATCCAAGCTTCTTCTGCATTCATGATGCATTTTTTTTCCTGTGCCTGCCACCCCATAGTTGTGTCTAGTGGGCTTCGAGACATCAAGAAATGGGCAAGGGATATTGCTTGGAAAGGCTGCTGGATGTCTGGGTGTCACAGACAAATACATCTCACTGAGCAAAGGTCATGAAGGCTGAGGCACCCTTTCTGCCACTGCGCCCCTCCACCCCCCAAAAAATCTCTGTACATATTCTGCTTTTAGAAACTGTGAAAGTGTCAAACCCTAGTGGATAGTAATGCTCAAAAAGTGCTTGAATCGTGACACTAAGTTACCAAAAATTTTAACAGATTCAAAGAATGCAACTTGGGTAAGGACAACCAAATAGCACACCCCCGCCCTTCCAATCTTCAGTATTATTTGGTATAGGAAAATTGGCACAAGTAAACATGTGCTATTTTCTTCCATTCACAGCCAATTGAACCACACACAGAATTGAAAGTATGGTATGCTGCCGATTATGCCAAATTTATGGAAGCTTCTGCAGTCTTCATTAAAGAAGAATCTGATGTCTGTCCTTTGTCTCCAGTAGCAGTAAGTACACCTAATCTGCATTCGAGCCCTCAACAGATGTAGTAAATTAGTTTATTTACATGCTTTCTCTGTTTATGTAAATCTAGTAATGCTAGGGTAGACCACAGAGTAGTTGGCTAACACAAAGCTAAGAGCAGTTTTAACCAAACAGCTACTCAGAGAAAGGCTGCTCTTCCTCTCCTGTGTTTGTAATCCAGTAGAGCCATCAGATGTAGCCAGAAGTAAGTGGCACCAGTGGGATGTGTTGGAAAGACTTAAGATTGACATTAATTTGTAGATAACCAAGCCGTCCAGCCTCAGACTTCTTTCACCAATTCCCCCTTGTTATGCACAGTCAGATGATGCACTGATTATTTCAGTCTGTCCTATGCAGTAACCCTTCTCTTCGAATCCAGATACATTCCCCTCTGTATGACAGTAGGAGTCTGTAAACAGATAGAAGTTTAAGTGTTGAAAACGTGGCTGTGACGATTGATATGTAAGCTGGTAGGAAATGTTAAACAAGTAATACAAATGAACCAGGAATTCAGAGGTGCTCCAGGAAGGGAAGTAACCCCATTGCTGCTTTTGCAGATGAGGCCTTCAGAGTATGCCCCAGAAAGGTGTGGGAGAACCACAGTATCAGACACAGATACGAGAGAGGAGGGCTCCATCCGTAAATAAAGACAGTGGGCATAGCCTCACCGTGCTCTCCAGAGCAACCTAGCCCAAGTGCAAAGGAAAGTAAGTACAGTTTATGAGAAGCTTGTGTAAAACATAGAGACAGCTAAGGAGGTACATGGTTGTGTATTAATTGGAAGTACATTTCATCAGTGACTGGGGGTTTTCCGTAACTGTTTTTAATTGGAATGATTAGAATGTCAATATTTAGAGTGAATTCAACTGAATCCAGTAGAGCTCTTCTTTCTGCAGAAATAATACTTCCAAATAATGCATTGCTTGCCAAAAAAAAGTTTTAATGCCTCTAAGTCAGGGCAGCCTCGAGATCCTCAAACCTAACGTGTTTCTTCAAGTTTAAGAAAGTCTAATGCCAAATGTCAGGCTAAGTGAGGATATCTCTCCTGGAGGCATTGACCAACTCTGTCGGGTAAATCATCAAGTCAGCCCAAAACATAGAGGAATCCTGTATGGCTAAACTATATTTCTGTGCAGAAACCCACCCAATTTTTGTATGGTTGCAAGAGCAGATAAATTATGTCAGTCTAAGGGTAAAGTACAATTTGCAACTGCTTTTACGAGTAACTCCGTAAAAGGAACAAATGTAGAGACTTTTAAATTCAGTAAGCACAGATAAACAAAGGTGAAGGACTCAGGACTGTTACTGTAAATGCTAAATAAAAACATGGAAATGGGCATTTAGCCAACCGTTTTTTTTTTCCTCTGAGTTTGTAGACTCCTAAAGAGAATCCATTTCCAGTTGAACAGCTAGTACATTGAACAGGTAGTGGAACAGGTTGTACATTGAAGTAAATGTCACCAAGGACAACAGGTCTTGGGGAGACCCCAGGAGAAGATGTAGGGTCACTGAGAAGAATATGACCTTTCTTTGAACGGCTAATAGGAAAGACCTGTTTCTGTTCTTATTGCAGAAAGAGCCTGTAGACCCTTGGATATGCTCCAGCTGTGGAAGCACTTTTGCAACTTTTGCTCTGCTGGAATCTCATCAGTGCATCCATAAAGACCGAGTGCTTACCACCAGATTCAGACCACCAAATAAACTGGGACCTGTAAAAGCAAAAAGCAAACTCAAAGGGAAACTGAGAGGAGCAGCTTTAGGCAAAAGCATTGCTCCGTGCTTTGGGACCATTTCCTGTTCCTCTGCTACAAAGCTTAGCTGTGCCAGCTCAGGCAGCACTTGTGATGCTCTTGTGAGGTTCATACCTAAATGGAGAAATGGCCGGTCTTCACTGCTGAAGGGAAGAGAAGTGAAGCAGACAGACAGTTACCCTTGCCGACTCTGTGGGAAGATATTTGATGCCATTGACAAGCTCACGGTCCACACTTACGCCCACAAAGGGGAGCGCCCCTACAAGTGTTCACAGCACGGATGCACAAAAGCCTTCATTTCTAAATATAAGCTGCTCAGGTACAGCTCTGAAGGTACCCTCCATTTCTGGTGGGGGTGTGTGGGGGGGGAAAAAGCAGGGACATCTTTTTCTTTTTGGGGTGTCCTAGTGACAGTTAATCCCCGAGTTCCAGTTTTTATGACTCCTGTTTTGGTAGCACTGGAGAAAACTAGTCTCCCTCAATTGTGGTGGCTACTCAAAACGATCCCATTGAGCAATTTTAACCTACTCTATATGCTTTATGATTAACACCTTTCCCCCCCAGAAAAAAGTTAGGCTTTTACTAATCATCTGAGAACTTGTGAAAATGCCTTCATTTAAGAGCGCCAATGTTTTCAAGTCTTGAAGCTGCAAGAGTAAATGTACTAGAATAGATGTAAACACACATAACTTTTTGTTGGTTTTTTTTGTCTTAGGCACTCAGCCACTCATTCTCCACAGAAATCTCACCAGTGTGGCTACTGTGAAAAGACCTTTCACAGGAAAGACCATCTAAAGAATCACCTTCAGACTCATGACCCTAACAAGATGGCCTTCAAGTGTGAAGAGTGTGGCAAGAAGTACAACACCAAGCTAGGCTATAAGAGACACTTGGCTCTTCATGCAGCCACCAGTGGGGACCTTACCTGTAGGGTATGTTCCCAGGAGTTTGGTGGTACTGAAGTTTTGTTGGAACACCTCAAAAGCCATGCAGGGAAACCAACTGGCAACACGAAGGAAAAGAAACATAAGTGTGACCACTGTGAGCGTCACTTCTATACCCGTAAAGATGTGCGGCGTCACATGGTAGTTCACACAGGCTGCAAAGACTTTCTGTGCCAGTTTTGTGCCCAAAGGTTTGGGCGGAAGGACCACTTGACTCGCCATACTAGGAAGACTCATCCACAAGAACTGCTGAAGAACAGGTTGCAGAACGGTGACTCGGTGGGTCTCCCTGACCAGCTTTTTCCATTCAGAGTGAAGGAAGATGCTAGCATACTGTCCCCTTTTCCTGAAAGGGTGTCTGGGCAGAATGGGATTTTGGATAGTTCCGAATCAGAGGAATACAACCATTCACATCTTCAGTCCCAGCCAAGCTTACAAACTGCTCTTACTCTTGAATCTTCTCCTCATTTGCAAAGGATGGGCTGTGCAGACAGCCTTCCAGCTGTCCACCCCACACCGTGCTCAGCAGCTGTTCCTGCCAACCTGAACCTTCATCAGCCTAATAAATATGACCTTAATTCTACCTCATTTGCAGCAGGATCCGTCAAGAATCTACCAATAAAAGTGGATGTTAAAGGTTACAATGTGCAGCTTCTTGAGGACCTGCTATTATCAGAACCTCAATCGCTCCATAAAATCAGTCTGGAAGAAGCTTCCTCAGGGCCTGTCGGGGATACTAACAAGTACCCAGTGCATAAGGAGACAGAGGCAGCAGCTGAAACTACAAGCCTGCCTTTCATGGATCTCACTCACGTGATGAGTTTCTGGCAGCTCCCACCAGGTGACAACCAGAACACTACTGGGGACATCACAATGGCATTTGGTCCAGAGGAACCATCACACAGGCTGAATGGCGTTGGCCAACAGCAAAGTCTTCAGGTAGCAACTGGTGGGATGGCCATAAGCCAGCTGCATCATCTTCCTCGCTCCTTTCCATCCACTACAAATTCTGTAACGTTGCCTCATTTTCACCATGCCTTCAAATAACTATCACTGTGTTTGGTTTTTTTTTGTTTTTTTTTGTTTTTTTTTTTCCCCTTCTTTTTTTTAAGACTGTGCTTCTTTCTTAAATCTGTTAGGGTGGGGTGGTTTTGGTTTGGTTTGGGTTTTAAGAAAAACTGCCCCAAATGTTTTCAAAGCACATTATGGACATGATAGTTAATTTCAGGATGTTAATAAAGAAGAAGCTCTATTTTTCATACTACTATTAGTTTTTTAGCATACAACAATAGTAGAACTCACATATTTCCCTCAACACCCTCTATATTTTTGTTTCTTACCTTTCACGCAAACAACTGAATAAATATCTTCAATGATAGCAAAGCATCATAACAGACACAATAAAACTATGGCTGCTGAGGTAGGAGAAATAGGGTTAGGGTGAATGGAAAGAAGAGGGGAATCACAAAAATAATTTTAATGAGCCGTAAATCACAGCAAATTTATACACGTGGCAAATATAACAAACGATTTATCAACATCACATAGATTTCTGTTAAGCATTTAATTACTGAACTTTATGAATCTTTAATTTAAATCAGAATCATTCCAAGAGTAAACCTTACCTCCTTGTTTCACTTTGAAATGAAGGTCACTATTGTGATTACATATAGCTAGATTTTGGGTTTTGAAGCACACTTCAGCTGCGTGCATCTCCTGAGTGATTTTCCTAGGGCTGGAAATAACTGCCACTTCTGCATGACTGTGTAAAAACTGATGTATAGGTGAAGTTTTCAGGATGGGAAGTGAATTGTCTCAAAGGTTAGAACAAAACATTGATTTTCACTTAGAGCTGGATCTGGCAAGATATCAGACACTGGTCTCTCCAGTAAAGCATTTAAGCATTTGCTTAAATATAAGCATATGTTATTGCATTGGGTCAACAGCCTGATTTAGCACTTAATAAAAAAATAATGCTTCCTACCTAGGGGGCCTTTATTCACCCTTTGTTGATAAAAATAGCCTTTGCTTAATTTGGAAAATTATTAATTGTAGCCATCTGAAATGTGGATTCCCTCACAGAAAGCCAACCCTGGCCCAGGGGAGCCCACAACCACGCAGGACCTCTGTGGGGGCAGGTCCATGCAGAGAAGAGTTGTGGTGAGCTGAATCTGAGTAAATTCTCAAACGCTAAGAGCTACTCTTCCATTAAATCCAAAGAGAGATAATAGTACCATATGATTGTTACAAATACAGTGTAAATCAAGCGTGCTCTCTTCTCCCTTGTTAATCACAGGAATATTTCCAGCTTCAAGTAAAAAAATTAAATGATTGCTGTTATGCTGTTAATGAATTACAATAACATAGTACAACTACAATGATCTGCATATTCTTACAAGTTTATCAGTACTTGGATTAAGGAAAGGTTGTATTACTGCAGTTCATGCGAGAATACATTCTTCAGATAAACTGTTGAGGGGTATTTTTGTTACAAAAATATTTGGCATAAGGCAAACCAGAAGGAAATGATTTAAGATCATTCTTGTAATGACAACAGGCAGGAGGAAGAGCAGGTGCTGCAGAGTCATGCCCAGTTAGCAGTTATTTAAATTGAGTTCCAGAATAGGGAAAAGGTTGCAAACAATGTTACATGCACATTCTACAGCTTGACTCGTATTTTCATCTGGACTTGGAACAGTGTGTGTATATTCAGTTACTGCATTGTTTTTCTTGTTCATACAAATTGTATTCACTTGGCTTCATCTGAGCTTATGTACTTGTAAAAAAAAAATACAAATTTTGTAGCACCGCCTGATCACTGTTAATAGACATTTTGTCATTTTGGTTTGTGCTTCTGCAAGAGGTGCAACTAATTACTGAAGTGCTTGTCTTTGAATTAAAACATGATGTTAAGAAGAAAATGTTACACAAACACCGAGCTAGACTGGCACGTCTGTTCCACTGGGCTGTAGCAGGGTGCTGGGCTCTGAGCTACCAGAGGTGCTGCTGCCTGACCTCAGCCTCTTCCAAAACCTGGAAGGAGGCATTGGCAAGAGGTGCTTATCTAGTAACTATGAGTTAAAGACCAAGTCTCATTCAAGTAAAAAGAAAATAACCACTTTTGATATTAAAATGCTTGAGAAAATCACACAATGATGGTGTCTACAAGTAGAACACAGAAGCAAACCTTAAATGTGTGATACTGCAGCTTTAACCCTGCAGTCCATTGAAATTTCTTTTTCCAGATTCTTGACATCACAAATGTAGAAGCAGCTGATGATGTCCCGTCACAAAAGAAAGCAAGTTATTTCAAAAGGTTATTTTTGCAAAAAAATGGCTGTGTTTTAAAATTCTCACATCTCGGGAGATACACCCAAGTCGTCTAATACTTAAAGCAGGGCTGGACTTTCTCACAGCTTTTGCTGGGGGGGACTTCTGTGAGCATTTTTGAGAGGCCAGCAGTAGCTGAGGCTCAAGAATGCATTGTTTCTGGGCAGACAAATTCTTTGGGCCTAGTAGACCCCCCCCCCCCCGGTACAGCCCCAAATGTCACATTGCTGAGAGAGCAGCAGTTTCCTTTGGGTGGGGGTAAGCTCACAGGGAAGGCGGCGCTAAGGAAGAGGTGTGAAGACAGCAGCAAGTCCTCACCAGCTCTCCCTGGAATTCCTTGGGGTGTCCGAGAGGAGGGGGCTGCGGCGGGCGGGCAGGCCTGATGCCGGGCAGTGGCGGGAGGAGGCGGCAAGAGCTGCGGGACGGCTGTCCGGGGCGCTGCCCTTGGCTCAGGCAGGGCTGCAGCGGCACCGGGGGGGGGACGGGCAACCCCACGTACCCCGGGGTACGGTGCCAGGCAGCCCCAGCCCAACCAGCGGCCCGGCCTCCCTCTTCTGGCACAGCCCGCTCCTCCTCCAAAGGGGAGAGGAGGATGTAAGGGCAGAACTGGCGTGCGGAGGGCAGGATAGGCCGTGGCAGAGCGGCGAAGGGGTGGAACAGAAAGTTCTGACCTTCTGGGAGATTGTAGGGTGTTTTACCTTGCACCCCACTTTTATCTGAACTCGGCTTGAAAATCTGTAGGAGCAGAGCAATATGTGGCATCTAAACAACAGAATTACTATAATCAAATGATACTGCAAAATAGCAAAGCTTAGTAAACATGCAGTCTCGTACAAAAATGTACTCATTTTATATATAAAAAAAAAAAAAGCAGCCATGTAAACCTGGTGAAATAACGAGCTAAAATTATACTACATGGAACAAAAGATTCTGCATCCTCTATGTAAACACAAGTTATTTCTAGTGCTCAGTTCCCATCCCGTATCGGAAACCACATTCATTTCTTTTTCCTTCAGTTTTAAGCTGCTGTTAAACCCAGATTGTTTTTCAGAGCCTGGCTGAAATAGGATGGTACGTTCCATGTGCTAGTGATTCATTTCCTGCTAGAAGAATTTTTAAGTACTGTTCTTCAACACACCACTCCTGCCCCTACAATTATACTTTCGCTAAGATACTGGAAAATGAGCTGTGAAATCAAACACTTCTACATACAGACAGAAAACATGGGGGTAGGGGGGCCACTGGACATGGACACAATGACAACAACAAATACAGTAAAACTTGCTCTAACCTTTGACTATTTATTTATTTGTTTGTAAAAGCAACTGTGATAACATTACACAGGATAGTTTGCTGTGGGGTTTTTTTCCCTCTTCTTCCTGGATTGAAAAAAAGGGTAAGCACCACTGCTTTTATATATTTGGGCTAATTTCATGTCCGATGTTTCTAAGCATCTAGCTCTAGGATTCACTTGCTTCAGTTTCATCCTTCCTGTATTTAGCTAATCACTATTAGCTAGAGCCTAAGTAGAGTTTAATTAAACTCTGTAAAATCTGGTATTGTTGCTGTGTCCAACTACTTTTCATCTTCATTTACTCTATAAACATTTAATAGGCAAGAATATACCTTACAGATTTTAATTGAAAGCCTTATTGGAAATGTTGGGCTAAAAAAATCCAACATGTTACAGCATTGAAAGTTTATGCAAGGTGATCCAAGGCTGGTAATAGCTCAGGTGGCCAAAAAATAAGAAGGGATATGTCTCCATACCATTTCTGTCTTAATCAATTTCTAAAAGCAACTGAAGCTTTTAATGTGAGAACGATATTTGGTTTTAGGTAGTCAGACTTGAAGTGCTTTGAAGCTCATGCACAGCAGACATGGCCATTTATCACTTATTGATCACTATCATTTATCATTTATTGTTTACTGGAAGATTCTATTAAATATATACACGAAATTCCAAAATGTTCATTTGTCTTGTTCAATATACCAAAGTTCCATTAGGGAAAAAAAGTAATCACATGATACTGGATCTTTCTACATTTTGTTAAAACCACTGAATGAACCACTGGTAATATCCATCCCCTTGTAGGCAATCATTTAATTACATTTTGGCAACTGATAAAAATAATGTCCCAACTTTAAAAAGGACGGCATAATGAGCTTTGTAGCCTGGGGGGGGAAGGGACAGTGAACTTCAATTTGCTTATTTTATTGAGTGTGGTAGCTGTAGCACTTTAGGTGGAAGTGGTGCTGGAAAATTGTGTTGTTAAAGGTCTTCTGTAACGTCTCAGAAGAAAACCTTAAAATGTACTTTCCGACTAGCCACTCTATCTTCTGTTGCACATTTGTGGTCTGAAAGCAGTAACAAGCCATATATATACTTGTTATTTGTATGCAAACAGCTTTTATATTTTACTTCATTTTATCTAAGATGATTAAACCTCAATCCCTGGGAAGGTGATGGAGCAGCTCATCCTGGAAACCATTTCCAGGCACATTAAGGATGAGAACATTTATTTGCACTACTCAAAGCCAGTTTCTCATGGCTGCTTTCTCAGGTAAAAAGCACCCTTGGGTAGCACCGAAACTGCTCTCTCACTAGCCCAAAGTGCTCTGTAAAGCACCAGGCAAAGCTCAAGTTTTACAGAAAATGCAGCAGCAGTTGCCAAGAGCCCAGCACCTACAAGCTCACCCCAGCCAGTTGCTTCCACAGTTCCTAGGGACGTACAAAACTCTGTCCTATATGTTGGGCACTAGTGTGGGTGTCTGTCCTGGGGACCTCTGGAGGCACCGGCTGTCCCAAGCCTCTGTAAACTGGCTGCAACGACAACCCCGACGATACCTGAGCTCACCAGTGCCCCTGGGAAAAGAGGTGATCCTCCCAAAGCCTGTCAGGCCCCAAGTTTCAGAGTTCAGTGGCTAAACCTTGAGAATGGTGATGGTATCATCAGTAAATCCCTGTTGGTGGTCTGAAAGACCCTGCATGATAACCATAAGAGTTACTACACTGCTAACTGTCACAGGTAATCTGGGGCGTGGAGAACACCAGATAAGACCACTGGATACTGTCAAACGTTTTTTCCCGTAGCTGGCAAAGCCAAGGAGGTAGGTGATGTTGATGATGGCACCATGGACTGAAGAATCCCGTGCCTGTTGCAGTCTTCCCCACAGTTGAAGGTACTTAGCCACTGCCCAGCAGCAACCAAGGCCAGCAAAACTCCACATAGAATGACCCTGCACAGACTTTGAATGTGAGTCTCTGCAACAGACTCTGTGCACGTTACTGTTCATCCCACGCTCTAAGCACATTTACAATTCATCTCCCAGGCTCAGAATACCTTGCCAGCTACAGGGAAACTGTCTTGGCCACATTCTCTGCCAGGATCTCACATTCTGCAGTTATGCGCATCTTACAGGGGCACAAGATGCCAATTGCCTGAGCCATCCCCTTGCACAACAGCACCACCACACCTTACGCAGGTGCTGGAAAGCCTTCTCCCTGCTCTGACAGAGGTCCGCATGGCCCAAGGTGGGAACAACACTGACTGCATGGTCTGAAGAGCAGAAGCACCAAACATCACAGTCTGAGCAATTAACATAGAGGAGAAGGAAGAACCTCTACACCATCATCCTGACAGCGATCCTTGAAATGGATGCTGGCGTCTTCCTCACTCAGACAATGGAAGCACAAGACCTGCTAGAGAGGTTTGTATTATCAGGCAGAAAATCCTCTCAGGACGCTTGTTATGGCAGAGCACAGTCACTGACTACTTGAGATGGAGCTGCTCCAAACCAAAGAACATTTAACATCAAAACAAATATTCTCAGCAGCCTATACTGGGGACATAAGGAGCTCTGCAAGAGTTTTCCATGCAATTGATTGCTTCAGTTAATACAAAGAAGTTCATACTGCAAGCACTGCAACAGGATACTGTATATACACAAAAGCAAACAAGGTCCTTTTATGGTACAATGTTGAAATAAAAAAAATATTTCTTACCCAAACTCTCCCTAAGATTTTTTTCCAGTAGATACACCCAAAGACTTTCTGGTTTTCTGCAGTATTCCTGGAGAAGCCTCTGCAGATCATTATTTAAAAAATTTATTTGTCATAAAGAATTATAACCTACATAAATTCCACATAAACCCCAGAAATGTAGGGATCAAAAGATATTGATACAAAGAACACTATGCATTATCATTCACAGGTTATACAACAAATAGCCATCAAAATAACTTTATAAAACATCTAAACATAGACTGAGTACATGTCATGATTACTGGTAGCAATGGGTGCTAGCAAACATATTATATGGCATCCTGATCACAGGGAACTGTTTTAGGGATGTGGTGGTATTAATTTTAAGGCTGAATTGACAAGGGGAAAGTCATATGGAACAAACAAGATACAAAGCTTGGTGCTTCATCTAAACGGACTTAAGAAAAGATAAAGAAGAAGGAATAAATATTACAATCAAATATTAAAGATTATGGGAGTCCTTTATGGGACTGAAGGAAGCTCCCACCCAGACTGCATATTTTAAGTCTATATAGATACTTCTGATTGGAGGACTTCTGAAAAGGCTAAGTCGTCCCTCCTGAGGACCCACATGAAAACTTGGCACAATGGATCAAGATAATGACTTGGAAAGCCATTCAATATCAACAACATCCACTTGGAAATTTTTGACCCTTCTCATTTCTAACAAGTGTTGTATAGAAATGAGTTTAGGATTTCATGTCAAGGCAATTTCAAACTTTATTTTCTAGGATTTTCTTTAAAAATGCTGCCCTCCCCCCCCCCCCCCCCGAAAAAAAAAAATCATCAGAATTTGTTATAAGAAAAACATAAATATGGCTAAATGAACTCTTTACCTGGCTTAGGTTCATCTTTATTGACACCTTCTTGTACTCTCTTCTGCGGTGGTAACACAGCAGTGTTTAAGGTTGGAGGTTTTCTCTGAGTCATGGGTTGCTTGCCCTAATAAAAGATGATGCACAATCCACACTCAACTCTAGCAAGGAGCTTATGGAGGCTGGTGAAAACTCTCCAAATTGCTGTTGAAGCAATGCTAGGAAGGAACAGAAAAAAGATGCACCCTCCTCCCACTTGGAACCCATTTTCCCTGCCCAAAATAGGTTATAAGAATCATAAGATTTTCAAATATCTTAAAAAAAAACCAAGAAAAATGGTACTCTCCTAAAGGAACCATTTACATTATTCTTTTTTTCTATAATAAAATGAGAGCTCACTTGAAGAGAGTGCTGATTAGCTCCACTTTTCTGATTCCCCAAAGGGGCTTAGCCCTTTGGTCTTGTGTCTAGTGACCAGGGAATAAATGAGCTATACTTTTGCAGGGAACAGCAAACTTGCCAACAGCAGGGAGCCCTAATGAACAGGAAGAGCTTTCTCTATGTATTGCAAAAGCTGCCAGGTTTCTGCTTCCCTACAGCTATTACCCTGGAATCCAGTTGCAGAAGAGTCTGAAGAAATTGTCCAACTTTTTTGTACTATCATTTTCTGTCACTTTTTGTATCAGACAAAGGGCTACAGTTCCAGGGAACTCCTAGCTGATACTCAGTGAGTACCTTGTCTTAAGAGTTTACCAACTTCCTTGGAATCTTAAGTTTTATATTAATATAGGTCTTCACTTATCATAAACTACATTTTGGCAAATCTGCCTCCAGGACAAGACAAGCGTGACTGTGTTTGCTTACCAAATCCTTTCTGGTGGTCTTTGCAACAAAAGCACGGCGGGCAGCTTGTTCTTCACAAAACTTTATGTGCCTCTGTGCTGCAGCCTCATTAAATCTTCGTGAGCAGTGTGGGCACTGAATATAGTCTGACCATAAGAAAGGAATGATTTGTGTCAGCTTATACACTACAGGAGAAGATTGCCCTGCTTTACTGAAGCACCAAATATGCAGTTCAAAATCTGGCTCCATCAGCAGGTGACAATGGTGAGTTCCCATCAGCTCCCAAAGTACAAACTTAGGATAACTACAAAAACCTACTGTAGAAAAGCATTTGAGATCCTAAAATACATGCTTATGGTATTAACCTAGCAAACAAACAGTAATTGCTTTCGGAAATAAATTCTGGTGATTAATAAAAGCAGATTATATTATCTTTGTCCTGTTCCCACCTACAACCTCACAATTAACAAGTCTGCAGAAAAAGCATTATTTAAAAGTTCCTAGGGTAGTCAAAACCAGTGATTTTAATAATACTTCTGAAGATTGGTCATTAAGATTGTTATTTGGCAAAACACTGCTGAAGAAGTTGTGCCCTGCCAGCTGAGGCACATCCAAGAGCCAGGCTTCTGGGTATGAATCAGCATTGTGAAGAACACACAGCAGTGTTTCCTGGAGTCGTTTCTGACAGTGTTACAGTCCTGATTCTGCTAAAAGCTACTCAGGGGTCAACGCAGTCACATTCAGCCCTTGCCATTTTCAAACCGTTCCACCCTGCCTAGTGCCTTTTACAAAAGCAGCCCAAGCGTCCTTATCCTAATATTACAGATACCACAACTTTACAAATTGTTTCTCTCGGTAACAGCCCAGAAAAGGTGGCCCAAGCAGCCACCAAAAGCCAGCTCCAGACCAGCAGTGTGGGCAAAGTGGTTCTGGACAGATACCTGGCTTCGGGGGGCTGGCAGGGGACCTGGCACTTCAGGGGACAACAGGGAGCTCTGGGCTCTATTTGGAGGAGGAACCTCTCTTTCCCACAATCCATGTGCTTTCTCACCAGTCCTGTAGTACAGGATATACATTCTCACTAGGCCCCTCAGTGATTTGTCTTTCCTAAAAAGCAGTTCTCCAATTCCTTTCTCCACAACTACCACTGCTCTTGCACAACTCTGTTTCCTCCAAGAGGGAGAGGAAAGGGAAGGGTCTGCTCTTAGAGTCTGTAGAGTCAGACAAGACATAACAAGAATCATTAAAGGATTTAGCAGTGGAAATTCAGAGAGGAGCTTGACCCCAACCAAGGAAGGAAGATGTGTCCTGCTGCTTATACTGCACCGCCGTCATCTAGAAGAGGAGAAAGGCTGAAATCATGGCAGCTGGTTTTGCTATCAGTCACAAATTCCTGCTCTGGAAGTGAGCCCAGAGAGCCCTCCCCTTTCCCCTCCTGCCCTCCCCTTCCTAACACAGGCGGGACTCCACTGAGACCCTTTTCAAGACTGGTCCCACATTTCATAAATCACATATCGTGAGAAATATTGGCTGTATGTGCATCTTTTTGGATCTGTAACTTCTAACAGGGTGAGCTCTGTGCAGAGACCACACCTGGTATTTGTAGTAAACCAGACCCGTCTTTTTCTAAATGACTTCCCAGTCTGCCCAGTTGGGTGGGGAAGGGGACAGTGGAAAAGTCACCACAAGGGAGTGGGGAAGCCTGTGTGCACTACAGTTGTTTTGAATAGTGAGGGGATGTATTTCACCCTCTGTTATGGTACAGCCTGTGCTAGAACACAAGCATCCCGACTCTCCTCCCAAAGCATTGTCTAACATCAGACCCCAAACTTGCTGCCTTTGAACTTAAAAGGTACAGTAAGTTTTCTCTTCCTCCCCACCACCTCTGCATTGCATTCCTACCCAATTTAAGCCAAGAAATACAGCTGAAAATTAGAGAGTATGGAGGAAATTAATGTTCGTGTTGTATTGTGCCAGGGGGTGAAAAACTGAAGGCCATCTATGGATAGGAAGAGGTCACTGATTTACCAAAAATCAGTACAAGAACAGTAATAAGATAAAGTAGACCACAAACCTGGATTGATGCTTGGTGGGGGAGGGGAAGGGGGCGGCCCTCCTTCAGAGCCTTTGTGACCTGCTTGGCTGATCGAATAGTATTAATAAAATCCTCATGTTGCTGCCTCCAGTTAGATTTCTTCCCTGGCTGTTTCTGTAATGGAAATACAGGAAGGCACAAACTATATTTCCTCCTTGCAAGAGACAGAGGAAAATCTTAGAGTGAGTGTTCTTCCTTTCTGAGAGAAAGGAAAAATATTACAAACAAAAGAAAATTGCCTTTTTTTTTTTTTTTAATGCATAGGAAAGCCAACTTAGCCATTTGCTCTCTACAATAGAAAAGGCACTATGACCAATGCCTTCCATTCTCCTCCACTTGTCAGATTATTCTTCTATTTTCTAGAAGAGTAGACACACTTAGGTGCCCAGAGAGGTCATGACACCTGGTTTGGCTTCTGAATGGAGAAATATTCTTAAACACTAGCAGCACAGGGAGGTGGGAGGAAAAAATTTGGCACTGAGTTAATCACATATGTGAGACTCATCCACAACATCCAGGCTTTGTCCATGGAGGAAACAATAGTATTCCTGAATGAAAGATTTCATATGGAGATAACACACATGCTTCAATTTTAACTATACCTTCTGCGGGGGCTGCTTCTTCACAGTGATGTCTGTTCCCTGCAGTCTCTGTTTCAAAGAGCTGAAGGGCTTGCGCTTCTTGTTGAAGACTTTCTTGCATATTGGGTCATGTCTCAGCTGCGATGCAAAGAAAAACAGTTGTTTATGGGTTGAAGTCATACTTTGTCAATGATGCTTCTTTACTCAGGCTTTAAAGTTACTTCTATTCATGAGCAGGGAGCTGAAGCAGTATTTATTTCAGCTTCAGTTTAACTCCTGCAAGAGTTCAGCAAAACTTTAAAAAGCTGTCCAAGTACAGCTGCAGTTTGACACAAATAAGAATAGAAGCCATTTCCAGTTTGTTCTGCTCAGGGACATGCTGGAGGCCAGCACAAATAATGACTTGCAGAGAACAGACTGGGTCTGTCAACAGAAACAGTCCCATTGGACTACCTCCCCACACCCCCCCGCACACTTGGTTGTCTTTCTTTCTCGGTTAAGAGGGAGAACAGACTGATCCAGTTCAAGGGCTGATATTTATGTTATTAGTTCTTTGAGTTTAGATAAGTATTCCAGACCAGGGGCTCCCCTGACAAACAGCAGCACTATCCATCCCATCAACACCACTGAAACAGCGACAGCCCCAGGCTGAAAGGGAGCAGCTGCTTATCAGCACACACAACCTGATAACTCAGAGTGAAAACCAGGGCTAACACCTGCACCTGAAAGCACAAGGAAATTGTAGGTAGATAGATATCCAGTCCAAATTTGTGTAAGAGCCATGCCTCACAAAAAAGGAGGTTTTAAGGTTCAGAAATGTCTCAGATTTTAGCATCAACCTCATTCTTCTGCAATGGGATGGGCAATCCCCTTTGTGAGCACAGGGAAAGTGAGGACCAAACATCTCTCCTGTACTGTGGATCACACCTATTTGAGGCCATTCACTGCTGGTAAATTATATACCCCATTCCTATCTTCCTTTGCTTACTCCCCCTTTCCAGTTCTCAGTTATTCTTCTTGACCTTCTCATTAATTTCTCTATGCTGTCCATTCTCTTCCTGTAGAAATTAAGCAGCTGCTTGAGCAAGGCCTTTGGTTACAGCTCAGCCAGGCCAAAAAGCACCTCATTCTATTACATCACACATTTTAAAATTCTTGCTTTCCTTTGAACCTTTCTACTCATGTGCTTCAGGTCCTTGTCTTCTGTTTTTAGACATTTTTGACAGCAAACTTGAGAGGAGGATTCCTCTGCAGGACCATGGGGGCAGCAGATATCTGTGTCTTTCTCATCGAGGAGCATACCAGTCCTGCATCATCTGGGCACACAGAGGTATTACAGGACTTGTATCTCATGCTTGTCATAGCGACAAGAAACTTTGCACCTTCCTCAAAACATAGACAGCTGTCTTTTCAAATGATTTTGCTGGATTAGACCATCATGTTCTTTGTGTATCTGACCTGAGACACCAACACAGAACTACTAACACAGTGTAGTTCGATCTTTGTCTCAGCACTCGTAGTCACTCAGCTTCTAATGTATTTTTCTTGTCTTTTTCTTGCTAAATCAGTTTTTAGTTCTACCGCGGAGCTGATCTGATCTATCAGAGCCAGAGGATCAGTAATGTGAACATAGGAGAGGGGTGGGTGCAGAGCTTCCCCTTGCAGAAACACCCCGCAGTTGGGCTGTGCCAGGCAAACTCTGCAGCCACCCATTCAGTCTGTAATCCAGGGATCAGGGAGGTCAGGGGGAATCTTTTCTTTCACTTCAGCAGACTTTGGAACAGAGCCTGGTGCCTGCATTATGCTGTCAAAGGGACTACTTATTGGATGGTTTATTAGTCTATTTTTCCCAGGAAGCCTGAAATAACAAATTCTGCCTAGAAACCTGGAACACAAAGGAAGCTTCAGGTTAGTAATTTACGTCCCACCAAGAGACAATATATTATTTTAAATGCAGTATATAGTAAACATCTGGTTTTGGACAAGCAGGTAAATTAAGATAACGCAAGACTGCAGATTAAGTCACAATCTCTCTGTGCACATTCATTAATTATCTAATCAAATTCACTAATGAAAGCAGTTATTACAGCATTTGCTCTTTTAAACATGTGTTCAACCCATTTCTCTACTGGCAGCCACCTCCTCCCCCAGTGCTCACCACACCCTTTCAGCTAAATGCACTGACATTCCCATTAAAAAAAAAAAGCAAAAAAAAAAAAAAGCTTTGTTTTACCAGAACATCTTGTGCAAATTGTCTTCCACAGGTTGTACAAGGAACCAGATCTTGACTTCGGGCAGCTGTGTAAAATTCAAACCATGCAAGACTCTGGGTTACACAGAACAGGACAGCTTGATGGCAGCAGAGTCAGCACTGGGACTGAGCCCTTGCTGATACAGTATTTTGTTGCCAGAAAGGGATGTCTACAGTCATGGATTACCAGGGCTCCCTTTTGCAGAACTACTTTATTTACCTTACTCTCGTGAAGCACAAGCTCTCCTTTACTATGCTGGACAGCTTTTTTTCCACGATTGCTCAGGTACGTCCCTTCACAAAGACATCACAGTTGGGCAAGGAGATGGTAGAAGAGTACCCTGGCTCATCGCTGCCTAAATTCAGGGAGGGAGGCTGGAAAGCAAGAGCAGGTGATCTGCACCCAAATTTATTCCATTTCATTTGTAAGCCCTCAGAAGCTGGCGATGCCCAGCAGTAGCTCAGGGGAAACCGTTGCTACTCCAGAAAGTAGTGGGTGTCACATGAAGTGAGAGAGTCATTCTTAAGGCAGAACATTTCCAAGATGCACTAAGCAGCATTCCAAGATGATCGATCTTCATAGATGTCAAATTTGTGGGTGTTTGTTTTTACATCAGTAATTTTTTAAAAAAATAGCCTTTCTGACTCCAATGGCAGTCACATATTTTCATTTCAGAGAAGGGATATTACTTGTATTAAACAAGAACAGCTTTTAGGAAAGCTCAGACAATAACAAAGAGCCCTTTTCATGAGACTTGTAACCTACAGAGGGAAAGGCTTCTCATTTACTTATCTGCTCTTGATGAAACAAAAGAAATCCTTGTCTGACCGAGCAGATGTGCAACTGCTTTTGTTTCTTACCTCTTCCTTCAGATTTTACCATACTCCAAGGCAGAGAGTTAAAGTTACTACGGTGTTTCATTGATTACAAGTGTAGAGGAACAAAGCAATTCCACAACCTTTCTGATTCGTATTCCATTGTCTCTGTTTAAATGTCTTTCCACCTTTGTTCCCACACAACATCTTTCTGTGCGTCCATGCTTAGTCTGGACTATACTCTTCCTTTCAAGCGTCTTCTGCCTCCCCCATCTCTTTTATTCTGTTCTCATATCCTCAACGTTTTGACTGATCGAGGTTGTGGGTTTTTTTTAAAAAAAATAAATAAAGAATTTAGGTACAAGTACAGTATCTCTGAACCAGCAATGAGAAGTCAGGAAAAAGGACAATTTGCCACAGCAGACTACTTACTTTAGACATGTACAACAGCAGATGAGTTAAGGACTAGTAAAGTACATGTGCACTGTCTTTAGCAAAAGATTCTCCTTTTCAGTAAATCACGAAAATCACATTCCACTCAAACCACTGAACAGCATCTGTTACTCACTCGTTCCATTTAACTCCTTTCCCAGTATCTGACTCATCTCAATAGAATGGTTTCTCAAATTTCCTCTTCTGCCTTGTCAGGAGTCATGAGTACTAAGGGGTCAGCTTTTGTTACTCAAAAGCTCACAATTCAAGTTACCATGCATCAGCCATTACATAATTAACAATTATGACAGAGGCAGACCCTGCTCAAGCCTGTGGAACATATGAAAACCAGTACAGATATGAGCTAAATGAAAGCCCTGAAACTTTTTCTAATCTTACAGATTCCCACCTATTTGGCTAACACACTCTTCAACATTTTTAGAAAATGGAGGCTTAGTCTAGATGTGAATACTGTATTGACACTTTAGTTTTCTGAGCAGCGATCAAGAGACTTGTAGACTTAAATGTCTGTTCATTCTCTTCTCCAAAACCATGTTACTTTATCATTAAAATGTATTATAAAAGCCTTCTTCCAATAAAAACAAGTACTTTGGATTGTTTCTGTACATTTAAAGGCCCCATCAGTCCTTTTGTGAATACTAGATGGAGGCAAGCTAACAGAACTATTTTAAGGAATACTTAAGATGCTTTGAATTTAGCAGTAGTCAAGCCACTCTACCGATGGCTTGATTACTGTGTTCCTTACAAGAAAAAAGGGCAACTTTTCACCCAAAGGCAGAGGATTGCTCAGTCTGTAAGTCCTAAAGCTGAGGGTTTCTTATGAATATAGAAGAATTGACTACAAACCCTATTAATTTCATTCACATGTATGGATGGGTCACGATCAGGATAATTCACATGCACAGTATAGAAATTTAAGATCAGATGAAGCCTAGAGATACTGGCCCTCTGCTCATCTTCATACAGTTTTTGCAACAATTGCAGTGGGGCTTAAGTTTTTATTTCAATGAAACCAAACTGAATGCAAGACCTGAAAAATAGTTATTTCAGGGACAATGGCTTTCTGCAACATGCAGAATTTGTTTTGTTTGCCATACTACTCCGTCTAGGTACTTTCAGCAAAGCTGATTTCAACAGCAACAGTAAGGGTCATTGTCTACTGTAGCAAATATATCACAAGTGTTAAGAAATGTAAAACTCAGGTTAGGCAACAGGGATGTCTAGCTACACTAGTGCTTTTCAGACACCTCTGTTTACAAAAGATTGCTCTAATCTTTCCTAATAGTATTCAAACAATAAATGACCAACCCAGAAAAGAACTGAGTGGATGAAAACTCCTTGACTTACAAAAACATCAAGGCACTGTATTCAGCTATCAGTATAAGGGAGAGAAGATATAAATGGATATATTGCATTGTAAACTGAATAATTTAATAGAAGACTCTAATCAGATCAGATCTGTAAGATTCTGCTGATTTGTTGAATATATTCAACAAATATATATATATATAAAACTTTGTCCAATGATAGTTTTTAAGAAAAATATTTTTTTACAATTTTAGTACATTTCTACTGTAATGAAACTTTGCAACAGTTGCCATGTCACTCATGACAGTATAAACATCACTGATACATTGTTTTATGTATAATTTCATTTCAGAAAGAACAAGTTAATGGTTCTTGTTACAGTAATATCTGAATAACCCCCTTTGAGCATGACTGGCGAAGCTATGAGTTGGCAGTCCCTTTCTCAATACAAATGAAAACTTAAGAATGTTTCCACAGTAAGTTCCTCAGTTTCATCAAGACAGCTTCAGCCCTTGAACGTTTTGTTTCAGATTGAGTAACTCTTTCTCTTGTCTTGTTTTCTCCAATTTGAAGGCTAGCTTGTTGGCTTTCTTCTCCATTCTGCGTTCCTGTGCATATGAATAATTACAAATTTACAAAATAGGCATAATATGCAAAAAGAAACCATTCCAATTAACAGTTCTAGGTCATGAAAACAGCAGCAATCTGCACAATAGTATTATTCATGGCACTAATTATTAGTAGTCAAATTAATATGTGTACTATAAGGATTATCATCTCTAGTTAGCTGAATCTTCTAATATGCAGGCAATTTCTGTTCCTAAACAAAACAACTAGTATATCATTGTGGCCAATTAGATTTTCCACATTTCTTTCAGATACTTTTCACTTTGTGTGATCTGAAACATAACTGTTTTTTTTGCTGCCCTAGATAATAAGGAAATATGAAGGCTCCCTCTGAAGTTAAATATGTTATGGTGGCCACAAGAGAACCAAAATTTCCACATCAGAAATTCAGATGACAAAATTATGATGTTAACTTTCTTTCCAGTAGATTTTTTTTTTAAAGAAGCAATAATTAGTCCTTTTAGACTAGCAAGTTCTTCCCATTAATTTCCAAATACAATAACAAGTGAGCTTTAAAAAAAGTTCCTAAGGAAGAGTTCAGATAATATAACATGTTTTTGCAGGGTTTCATTTTAAACAAAGCGTACCTTTCGCTCCTCTTTTATTGCCTGCTTTCTAGCTTTGCGATCCTCTTTGCTCTCGTCTTTGAAACGGGGCTGTGTTGATGCTCTTGGCAGGTCACTGCTGTTAATCATTTGCATGCGTTCAATCTGCCTAGCAGTAAGACCTTTCTCAGGCAAGATGCGTAGAGGAATTCCGGTCTTCTGAGAAATTTTGATCTGTTTGGGCTAAAATAGAGAGCGCATGCATATTAACGGTCCCTAGCTTTCTCTCCAAGAAGCACACATCGCACTGCCTTATCAGCATAAAGACATTAGATTCAGATTTAACAGTAATAAACATGTAAGTTTCGTCATGCTATTTTCTTCCCTCAGAAATATGCACATTAATCCCAGAGAAAGAAACAGATTCTGGCCTCCCAGAACAACAACAACAAAAATCTCCCTTTTATTTAAATATTATTGCAAAAAAAGAACTTAAGTAGGCACTTAATATTCCTTTACAAGCTTCCAAGAAAAGGGTTTCCTTTCAAAATCTGGAACATCAAGCTGTGCTCTAATGATGGGGAAAGTCTGGAAGGCCAAGGAACTAGAATAAATTGTGTAGAGGAGAAATAGAAGCCTATTTTCAAGCAAAAATCCCTAATATGTGGTTGTGAGACAGGTTACGCAAAGGTGCATCACAGATTACAAGAAAGTAAATTCCTTGCTCTCTACATTTCTGCCTAGCTTTATAGAAATTTTGAACTTACTGAATTTTAATTCTAATAGAAAAAAAAAATATAGCCAAACCCTTCTTCAGTGAAGAATACCACAGGCTAACACCCTCCCCAAAACTCTTTTCTACCACGTCCTCTTTTTACAAACAGATATCCACTGAGAAAGCAATCACTTTTGTCTCAAGTTTTACCAGGCCAGGTGTTCCTCAGAATAAGTTTAATGATTTTACCTTTGATGGCTCCTTAATAAGTGTTGGGTGATTATATAAATTTGAATATGTACCTAGGTCACAAAGAAGAAGAAAAAAAAAAGTAGTGAAAAAAGGCTTGCAAATAGAAATTAGATAAATTTATTATGAATTGTACTACTACTTAGTCTTTGAAAATTCATGCTGTTAGAAAAATTTTGAGATCACCTATTGTTTACTTTGAAATCCTAGGAACAAACAGGCAAACTCCAAAATACTTACTCAAAATGGATTCACAATCCCACTTTTCTTTTGGTTCCTCAATAACTACAGCTACTATTTCTTCATTTTCTTCCTCACTTTCTTCATTCCCAGGAGAGTCTAAATCTTCACAGGGTTCAAGAGCATCCAATTTCACACAACTTTGAAGAAGTCCG